TTGAAAATAAAATAAATTCAAATGAAATAACTGGGAACCAAAATAAGCAAAGAAATAATGAATCTAAATAAAAAACCCCAAAAAGAAAAGGGCAAAATATTTTGAATCAATAAAATAATACTTTTTATTATTTTGCTCTTAAAAAAAATAAAAAAATAAAAATTAAATTAAATACTCATTCTATATTCATTTATATTTGTCCATATTTTTTATCATTTTATGATAAATTGTTCTGAATTATAAATGATTCAGAAATGATATTTGATTCAATGTATGTATTCATTTTTATTATTATTTTATTTATGTATTTTATTTTTATATATTTATATTTTATTATTATATTTATTTTTATTATTATATTATATATATCATCATATTATCTATATATTTTATATTTATCATATTTTATTAGTTTGATATTCTTATTATTTATATTTTATTTTATATATTAATATTTTTTTATTTATATATAATTTCTTATGGGAACCAAAATAAGCGAAGAAATTATGCATCTAAATAAAATGATCAAATGAAAATAGTGTAATATATTTTTTGAATATTAGATTATTCTGTTTTATATTATTTTCTCTTAAAAATATAAAATAAAATAAAAAGTAGGTAAAATAATAAATCTATAACAATCAGTTGACATTTTGTAATATCTTATTGTATTGAGTATGATGTATCTTGACTTGTTGAGTATATTCATTCATAATTCTGTTCATTTTATATTATTCTTTATTTCTTTTCATTTACCTTCAATTCTATTTTAATGTGAAAATATCATTATGAAATGTAATAAAGAAGAACACTATGTTAATTAACATTTATAATGTTAGTTATGAATAACAATGATTATATAAATATGAACATCAATCGTATTGTTATTAATGATTAAATATGTTCCATTTCATTTATCACATTGATGAGATATCATAATGATATGTTAACAAATGTTATTATTTATTTATTTAAATGATATAATTATTGATATGAAAATTAAATTATATCACAAATGATTATCAATGATGAATGATGATAAAGTACAATTTAAATTATTTATATTATTGTATCAAACAAGAGTTAAATGATGAAACAAATAAAAAGATAATAAATAAGAAGTATCAATGAAATGATGATATGATAATAACAAATTGAATAATTTAAACATCAACACAATAATACAGAATGAAGAGTGACTATTTAATACATATTATAAATTAAACATTTATAATTAATAATAATGAATTTAATGTTCATATTCAACTTTCATTCATGATAATAATTCATTAATTTTATCATTAATCATTATATTTATTTTCTTATTATTTTCTTTATTCTTTCTTTTATCATTTTCTTTTTATATTTATTTTATTTCAATTTCAATTTCATCAACAGATATAATCATTTAATACAGAAATCGAAGTAGAATAATAGAACTAATAATATACAAATATCTTCTTCTCATATTTAATCACAAATATTTTTGTCTA